GAGAGAGAGAGAGAGAGAGAGAGAGAGAGAGAGAGAGAGAGAGAGAGTTACACGTTGCAGGATTTTGAATAGTAAATCTCGCGGGGCACTTGTTCTACTGTTCCACAGAATAATAATTTCTTTGCGAAAAATTGTATGTATTTCACGAGATAAGGCACGGCTGCACCCGGGCCACCCTCGAGTGAGGGACGTGAGGGACGTGAGGGTGGCGAATGGCGACTGGGGCGAGCCTTCTACTATTCTACTCGAAAGAGAAAACGATCGAAAGATTGCTTCTACGTCTATCGAGTCCTACGTCGAGTAAGGTCAGATGGATAAGCGCGCAAATGACGTTTGCGTTTATTTGCGACAGATACAGAAGCGAGAATATAGACGCGAGAAAGAGAGAATAGGTACGCGCGCGAGACGTGTAAAATCGTTTATCGCGTGACAGAGCGACAACAGCGGCCAATCGACTTGTCGAAATTTATTGCACTCACTGAAGAAAGCTCATCGGAGTCGGCGTCTCGCATTGCCACCACTGCAAAGCACTGTTGCGATTATATGTATATCGCGTTACGCACCAACACCAGCACCGTCCGTTTCCACGTCCTCTTGGCCGATTTCTCGCTACACTCGTCACTGACGCGCGTGCCATGTCGTCGAGATCGAGCCCTCGCTGCCCTCGTCGAGCCTTCATCGCCGAATCGTTCTCGCCTCCGCCTTCGAAAAGAAGCTCGCTCTCGGGTTGCGTTTCCGGAGGCGGCGCGGCGAGAGCGTCAGGGCGAAAAAGCGGGACACCCCCGCGACCGCGACCGCGACGTCCGCGACTCGCGACTCTTGCGAGTCGCGCGCGACCGCCCTCCCCGACATGCCGCCAACACCAACCACCAACCACCCCCGACGCCCTACTTTCCTCTCCGTCCTCTCCGTCCTCTCCTCAGCGACCTCAGCTCAGCCTCGGCGCCCTCGGCGAGGCGAGACTGGCGAGAGGCGAGAGCGCACTTGCGCTCGCGCTCGCGCTTCTTCTCGGCCTCGGACCAGCACACGCATGTACGTAGTACATACGTACCCGGCCGCGCGCGACTCTCGACAAAACCGGAAGCGCGCGATACGGTACTCGGTACTTACCCTAGTCTGATGTCCTCCATTGCCGCAGCTATCGGCCAACACCGATCGATCCCCTTTTCCAGCTACTCCATTTCTCTATTCTCCCCTCGTGTGTGTCAGGCTCTCGCTCTCGCTCTCTCTCTCGGCCTGGGCCCACGGCGACCACGACTCGCTTTTTTATAGCGTGACACCCCCGCGCCTTGACGGCTCACATCTTGACCCGCGATCCGTGCCAACTGTGCTCCTTTAAGGAGACGCGCTCTCTGGCTGCTCTCTGACCTCTCTGTCCATGGCACGCACCACGAGTCCACGACCCACGACGACGACGTCGACGACTCGCGTGCTCGCGTGCTCGCGTGCTCGCGTCCTACTCAGTACGCAGTCCTACGTCCTACTCGTAGACTCGTACTCGTGCTCGAGCCTCGAGAGTCGAGCCGCTCGAGCGACAAGTCGCGCGTCGCGCTGGTCGCGCACGCTCATCGCTCGTGCTTCGTGTTCCTTGCCCTTGCAGGGGTGTGCTTAGACTGCTTAGCTCACACTCTCACTCACAGTGACTACTGACTACAGTCGTCGACGTCGTCGTCGTCAACCGCAAGGGATGCCGGATATGATTCGGAAGAAAATGAAAATACGAATACGCGCAATACTCTACAGTCCACAGCTACACCCAGACACCCTAGACCTATCAAACTTTACACGTCGTTCATTTAGATTTAAATTTATTCTTATATAATATACATATGTATATTTCAAGACCGTCTGAAGAAGATGCTGACAATACCGGCCTAGGACCTAGGACTCGCTGGGACTCGCTAGTCGCTAGTTCGGACATAAACCATAGCACGGACACGAACCATGTCATGTACGTTACCGAGCGAAAGGGACGTAGACACGTAGTTGCAATGATGTCCACTTTCTCAGGGGGCAGGCTGAAAATGTGACTTCCGCCTCCGCCAGCTTCAGAAAGATTAAAGAGATGGCGGCTGGTTAAGGTTAAGATAAGAAAGACGTAAACAGTACGCGGATCGCGGGTCGCGGGTCGCGGGCCAATGAACTGTCAGAGACGTCAGAGTCAGTGTCGGTGGCGTGGCGGCGTGGCGTAGTGCTCGACGCTCGCCCGGGCTCGCCGTGCTCTCGTACTGTCGTACGTCGTACTGCGCTGTAGGCTGTAGCTGTAGTGCGCGTGGTGCATACACGTGTGTGTGTATATATGTGTATAACTGCACGGACAACGTCCACTGCGACTGCGATCTCAACGATCGAGAATCGCCGGTGATGGTGATAGCCGGGTGTATGCCGTATATGTATGGTTGAGGTTGAGCGCGCGTGTAAACGTTTCTCGTTCACCTGCGCTGTCACGCTGCTAAAGCTAAACTCGAACGATTCACGCGACGCTCCGGCTCCTCGTCGGCGTCGCTCGTCCCGGTACTCCCGACTCCCGGCTCCCGGGCCGTGACAGTGGCAACTGCTGGCAACCGCGGCAACGTCCGAGGGCGAGGAGCACAAGAGTTTTGCCCACGCACGCAACATTGTAATATCGTATGCCTGCCTTTTGTAATACACGCTAATAGAGATACCTAATCGAGATACCCACCGGCAGCCGAGATGCAGTGGCCCTCGCTCAGCGTTATTCTTTCCGAGATATTTCTGGCGTATATCGTCTACTCGATATACACGCTGTCGCTGCTGTTCGTGTCGCCGGCCTGCGAGGATGGCAAGCCGTGTCTCGAGTCGTACCTGAGCGAACGGCCGCAGTTGGATCTATACATGTACAGCTCCATCAGGAGAAATCCCGCCAGCAGAGACGTCGACCTCGTATACTCGGGGCAAAACTTCGCGTACGATCAAACGCAAACCATGTGAGCATTTCCGCGTCATTTAGTCGGGCTGTCATAGTCTCCCTTTGAGCATCCATCCCTCGATCAACGGTTGACCTTCTTGGGCAGCTTGGGCCTGTCTCGCCTTCCTTTCCTCTTGTCCTCTCTGCTCTCTGACAAGCTCTGAAGGAGTAGGATGCCAGAGGGAGAAAGAGAGAGAGAGAGAATCGAAATGGTCTGACAATGAGCGAGAGACCGCCCGCGCCGCCGCCGCTCATGTGAATTAACCAACTTTTTTTTCTTGCAGTCCAGTGACTCTGACCGTACCAGGCGACACACGGCGAAATGGAACATTGTTCTTACATATATTATTAACGCCTCCCTCCGTAAAACGGAGCAGGACGTTTGTTGATTTGCAAAAAGTAATGTGATACGTAATGTTATGAAATATATATATACATATATATGCTCTACATTACGTACGTCCATCTTTACAGGATATATTTACCTCGTATACCGCTATTAAAATGACACAATACGTAGTACCTGAGGCAGAAGCGTTCAAGTTGTTAGGCGACAAGAGCCATGGCCATGGTACGAAAAAAGTTACGAGCCAGATTATCGTACGTCCAGTCTCACACGTGAAAAGTCGCGTGACTTTTACAATAATGACGGACAACGTTATGCTTCCTATATACGGCATGCCTGCCGAGCTCGTCAATCACATCAAGTACATAAATTTTAATATATCTTGACCGCGCGTACGCATAACGCGCGCAAGTGTTAAAGACCGACGTCATCACCTTGCTTGTTTGTTGCAGAATAATTGGCAAACGGACATTCTTGCCGATTGTAACGTGCGACTTTTTACAAACGCGACATCGGGACCTTAAGCGAATTACCCCGCAAAATTATACGACGAACGTCGCGGTAGAATATTCGCCTGTGTCGCTAGGAAAATTAAGATTGGTGCTGCACGTGCAGGCGACCATGGAGAATCTGAGGAATCTCGGCTTCTCCGACAAAGACATCGATGAAGTAAAGGGCATCTTTGCTGACACCAACGTCTACTTATTGGGCGGTACATTCTTCATCGCGGCTGTACACGTGAGTAGGACAAGTACGGCGTGTTACGTGCGTCGCGAAAACCGCAAAAGAAATGAGAGAGGGGAAAGAAAAGAAAGAGAAAGGACAGCGCCAATCTTCCGTGTTACAGTTGTTGTTTGATTTTCTTGCTATTAAAAATGATGTCAGTTTTTGGCGGAAGAAGAGTAATCTCATAGGCCTCAGCAAATGGACCGTGATATGGCGTGCGTTCAGTCAGACGGTCATTTTCCTTTATCTTTGCGACGAAGGTTCTTCCTTGCTCGTTCTCATTCCGACCGGTATCAGCACTGTTATCGAGGTGCGTATACATGTTACGGTATGTACATATATGGCGTTATCAGGTTATCACCGATCGTGTAATGCGTAACGTTTTTTTTTTTTTAGCTGTGGAAATTAAAAAAGATGTCGAGAGTGGACGTGATTAGCAGCGGTAGCATTTTGCCGAGAATACGATTTAAAACTGACTGCATTGACGCAGCCGAGGTGAAAACTAGAGAGTTTGATGCTGAGAGTATGCGTTATCTAAGTTACTTGTTATATCCGTTAGTTATCATTGGTGCAATCTACTCGTTACTTTATCAGCCGCACAAAAGGTAAACAACCACTTTTCTCTAAAACGAAAAATATATACGTACGAAATAATCATTTATATCTTGGAGATAGAAATAAATCGTGAATTAAATTGTTTTGAGTTACAGCTGGTATTCATGGAGCATAAATTCCTTAGTGAATGGAGTTTACGCATTTGGATTCCTCTTTATGCTGCCGCAGTTGTTCGTTAATTATAAATTGAAATCCGTGGCGCATCTGCCATGGAGGGCGTTCATGTACAAGGCATTTAACACTTTCATCGACGACGTGTTTGCTTTCATTATAACGATGCCGACAGCGCACAGAATAGCGTGTTTCAGAGATGACGCCGTTTTTCTGATTTATCTGTATCAAAGATGGTAAGAGAATTTATTCGTTCAACGTGAAATTCATGCCGAGTGCCGCTGAACGTTCGCGATTTACGTTAAACGATGGAGATTTCTACCTGAAGGCAAGCACAATTCAAAAAAATGTGTTTTTTCTGTCCTCTCGGGTTTTCATTATTTTTACCTGACCATTGTGATCTGAAGCGAACGTCGTCAGCTACGTCATCAATTCTTTTCTTGGAAGGACCTAAACCTAAACCTATCTCCATCGTTCGAAAATTTGTCATTCCTCATTGCTACTTGCTACTTGCTACTTGTTCAGTGGTATTCGCCGTGAGCGGCACGTCGCGTTACGGCCTTTCGTATGTATCGATCAATATTTTAGAACGTAAAAAAAAAGTTTGTCAACACTGTCCACAGGTTATACCCGGTGGATAAATCACGTGTGGATACTGATACGATTACAGAAGAAGCTGTCAATTTCGGCAACAATACGAACAAAAAAACAAATTAACCATTCCTATTGTTTACTGTTTACTGTGTATTGTTATTGTTTGTCTTCGTTACCTAGAACTTGAAACTTTCGTAATATCATGTTGAAACGTTATTACGTGCTGGCAAACAGTATTTATATCGCTAATGTGAAAATTTAACTAATATACGCATACAATTGTTACGAAAAATATATCTTATTTTCTTTTTATCACCTAGAGAGTACCATTGTAATTTTTTATTTTTTTTTAACGATCCGACAACGGATCTTGCAATTCACGTATAATCGCGATGCGATAATATTATCTATAATGTTCTCGGCGTGACGCGTTCAATGATCAGAGTGTGACAAAGGACTTATAGAAGGAAATTATATAACATGCAACGTCGAACACGGCAGGAAAAAATCAAATAACGGCACATTCCTTGTTCGGATGCTCATTTAGCAGGTGTTATATGTCATCAGGCTACTTCTAGGTATGATTATATTTGATACGTGCGTAAGAAAATACTTTTACTGGGTTGCCCGATAACGAGGGACCGTGAATCATTTAAATCGAATCTAACGCGATAACACGTCAGTGTTTCGATATCCACTGATCTAATAGGAGAGAAACAGTCCGAGAAGTCTTCTCTCTAAATGTGTACGCGCACGTGTGTGTGTGCGTGTGCGCGCGCGCGTGCGTGAGCGTGTGTGTGTGTGTGTGTGTGTGTGTGTATGTATATATATATATATATATATAATTCTTTAAATTTACAGCTTAAACGGAAATTCATATTACAAACTGTAATACTTGTGTGCCACGTTATATATACAAGACTAATGGCGTACATTATGTGCGTCATACAAATTATAATTCTGATCATTCTTTCTATATGGATTTATCTCTGGTTCATGGGTTTAGGTAAGACGGTCGAGGCAAATAAGTTATATAACTCCATCTTTTTTTCTTTTGTATCAGAATAATGTATGCGTGCTGATGAAAGCTATGGCTCGCTCTATTAGTTTTGAGATAATGTAGTAATAATCGATTTAATGAAAGCATGCGTTTGCATTATTGCGTTTTAAATTAACTTTAAATTAACATGTTTCTGTAGATATACAGTTTTTTCTAAAGCGATGGTGGGCTCTTTTGTGCATCTCGAAGGAACAGAAAACAGAGAAATGTATACTCAAAGACAGCGACGTGATATCCAATATAAAAAAGTTCTTGAAACCATGCTCGGATA